ATATATATATATATATATATATATATATATATATATATATATATATATATATATATATATATATATATATATATATATATATATATATATGAATTAAAATTAGGGGAATGCATATGAAAATAACGAATAACTGACCGTATCTGTAATTTTGGCCTACGCTCGTTACGGCAGCAATGGGTCCCGCGGACGGTCCAATGTGACGCTCATCTCTGCAGCTATCACACGGGTGGAAACTTGGGTAGACGGGGTTCCCGGACAAACGAGTAGTCGAAGCACCGCCCCATCTTGTTTCGGTCGGCTGGCTTTTGTCTTGTAAGGTTAAACCCTTAAAAGAGGCGGAGGAGAAGCCAGTGCTTGGGTCTCGAGAGCGAGATGGTGGTCGTCGCTGCTCTCCAGTTCGCCTGCTCCGACTCGGTCTCGGAGAACGTCGATACCGCTGAGAGGTAGCCCCTTCAATCAATCACGTTGTCCAAGCTCCTTCTTTGAACCAGATCCCGTCTCTCTCATCTTTTGCTTTTATTCACATCCATCCACCGCAAGAAAATTTTCCTTCGTTTCTGATGAAAGATAAAGAAAATAAATCGTTTTGCCCCATTCGATTTCTTAATCTCCGCAAACTCTGTGATGCCAAAGTCGGTGGGAGTGATCAGGAAGTGATCTTCTTACGTAGGAATTGTTGGTTGTTAGTGAAAAAAAGCATAATTAGACTCCGAAATTTTTGCTTTCTCTTTAGTTTGTCTTAGTGTAGACAGATTACTTGTGGGTCGAATTAAGATTTATAGAAACATCTGCAGTCCATTACAGTCAGTTGATATTGCGAGCATTAGACTGTTGCTCTAGCAGTTACTTGTGGTTGTAAGATTGACTTCCGTCGGAATCTGATGATGTTGAATTCTCTGGTTCTGTTGGTGATGAGAACTTGAAGCGAAAGATTCTTATTATATTAGTTTTTGAGTCAAAAGAATAATATTGAAGCCATTGGGCTTTGATCGATAGGATTCTAGCTCTCGAGTCCTTCATAATAGTTTTGGTAGTACAACAATAACAGCCACAACAAACTGTGATGTCCCGACAATAATAATTTAGGTAGCATGCCATTGATATGAAACATCAATTTGAACACATTCCGTTGGTTTTTGTATGCAAAAACCTTTGATCGCTTAGGTCTTAGTTGTTAGGACCAGAACTTTTTCATCGAAAAAGACATTTTGGTTTATGCTATCTGATTTATATATTTCTTGTAATACTCAATTTGATAAATTCCTAAACACTTTTCCTTTTTTGCAGGTTAGTAAGAGCTGCTCATAAGAAGGGGGCAAACATTGTTCTCATTCAGGTACACAATCTCACATATTTCGCTTATAGTTGGTGGTCAAAATAGTCGGTGATTGAACACCGAGACAGCCTCCTATCTTATCAAAATTATTTAGACAAAATGTGTAATCATGTGCGTGGAGCTTAGTGACTGTTTTGGTGTGATTGCTTAATTTTCATTCTAATGACATTCTAGCTCAACTCTAAGGTGGATGATTTATTACAACTCTTGATGTGTAAAGCTGTTACTCATTCCATCTTAAGGGATTTTTTTTTTCACTAATTCATCTATGAAAGAAAAATCTTTCTTGTACTGAGGATGCTAGGCATAAAGCACTCATTGGTAATTATAATAACTATACGGTGTTATGCCCTTCTGTTTTGATGAGTGTTATCTTCACTGCTACACTTTCATGCTTTGTTCAAGAAACAATGAAAAATCACTTATTGGGATGCGCATATACTACAGGATGAGCCTAAAAATATATCTGACATGCCTCAGTGTGTTCCTCAGAATTGTCCAATAAGTTAATAAAGTAAGAATTCTCACTAAAATTATTAATTGGAGGGTGAAGCCTCCCTTTTTAGAATTATATTCTCTACTTACCTGCACAGTTATGCTTCCCATGATACTCACTGATTCTAGAAGAGTCATAATTCATTTGATGTGCCTGTGAGAGAGATTCTAGCATATATATATACTGCTGACTTTCACATTTACAGCAGCACTTACTACAGTATTTTCTGTGTTTGTTAAGGTTCCTACAGGTGGTTTGTATCTAATTTGGTTTTCTTCTACTCGGTTACATTTTTCAGGAACTATTTGAGGGTTATTATTTCTGTCAAGCCCAACGAGCAGATTTCTTTCAACATGCTAAGCCATACAAAGAGCATCCTACAATTTTAAGGTGACCGCAAACTCTATTAGGAAACTCAAGCCTCTTGCATTGACATGTGGACAAATGAAAAGAATTGCAATATAATATTTTGCAGGATGCAGAAACTTGCCAAGGAGTTAGGTGTTGTAATACCTGTGAGTTTCTTTGAAGAGGCAAATAATGCTCATTATAATTCAGTAGCAATTATTGATGCAGATGGGACGGACCTTGGTTTATACAGGAAATCACATATTCCAGATGGACCAGGCATGAATTATCTTAATGATGAATTTTTAATTTTTGATTTAAGAATAATGAATTTTTAATAAAGAATTATCAATATCACTATATTGGACCAACCTACTTTTCATCTTTTCTTAATAATGAATTTTTAATTTTTGTTTAGGCTACCAAGAAAAATTTTATTTCAACCCAGGAGACACTGGCTTCAAGGTATGACATAAGTTCTTAGGTTTGTGCAAAAAAATTTTGTTGGATGTTAGCAAATGTGATGCATAATTTCTCTGTGTAACTCGTATGGATACTTGACAAATTGACCTTTTCTTTGGTGTGTCTGGAATTAGGTATTCACAACCAAGTTTGCAAAGATTGGAGTTGGTAAGTAAATTGCTCATCAATAACCACAAGTGGTTTGAGTTGTTGGATATGCATATCTTTGCATCTTTGTGTCAAGCATGATAGTTGTTACATTAGCTAGCCTGACAAATGTTTCTCAAGTGTCCTCAATTTAGAGAATTCATTCCTTGTCTTGGCAGCAATTTGCTGGGATCAGTGGTTTCCTGAAGCTGCTAGAGCTATGGCACTTCAAGGAGCTGAAATATTATTTTACCCTACTGCTATCGGATCAGAACCCCAAGATGAAGGGCTTGACTCTCGTGAACACTGGAAACGAGTAATGCAAGGACATGCTGGTGCTAATTTGGTAACATGATATCATAGATCTTGATTGACTTTTTAATAGGAACTTCAATGCAGAATCATCAGAGATATTTTTCCTCTGCTAGTCATTACCGTAATGTAATTTTGATGATGCAGGTCCCACTTGTAGCTTCTAACCGAATCGGAAAGGAGATGATCGAAACAGAACATGGAAACAGCACGATCACATTTTATGGCAATTCTTTCATAGCAGGTACCAAGCCTACTAGATGCTCTCTTGAGTGTTAAGCCTTTTCATGCTAATGGTATGATGTTTTGTTGTCACAGCACTAAACATAATGACTGTTGTGAAAACAGGACCAACTGGAGAACTGGTGGCACTTGCAAATGACAAGGATGAGGAGATTTTGGTTGCAGAGTTTGACTTGGATAAAATTAAAGCTCAGAGGCTCAGCTGGGGGATTTTTCGAGATCGGCGTCCAGACCTGTACAAGGTATTGTTAACCCTCGATGGTGCCAAATGATCTCCATGACTAGAAGATTTTCCAAATCGAGTTTTCCATGGATTGCTTGTTACAGAAGTTAATGTATCACTGTCATAAATCCTCATTACAAAAATGACCAAGTCATGTGTATCAGATACTTCTCATTCAACTCACTTCTCTTGCTTGTGCTTAGAGATCTAATAATCAACGATGATATATTGGGAATATTGATAAGGATTTCAAAGCATGGTTCGTCTTACTAGTCCGTATCAAGATATTGATCGATTATCGGTATCGACACATGATACAGTGGGATGTATCGACAGACCAGTATATACCGTCCATATCGGTCTTATATTGGATCGGTATATATCATCCATACTGAACGGTATGTTGTAGTACGATGAAACTTGCTTTGAATTCATCAATAATGTCAGATTTAACATTTTTATTCTTTTTCTTTCACCGGACTGGTGACTGTCTTTTTAGTTCATTTTTGAGCCAAGTACCCCCATCTTTTTCCTTGCTTTTTGCTTGTGTGCTTTTTATTTCATCCTCAAATGCACTTTGTTGGCTTCCCTGTTCTATTACCTATCTCTACATTGTGTCTTGGGTTATATGAAGTATTGAACCTAATCAATATGCTCTTCTTGTCGTCCCTGCCCTATTACCTATCTCTACGTTGGGTCTTCAGTAATGAAGTATTTAACCGAATCAAAAGTAGGACATGTTTGCTTTCCAGACTGCATAATCTTCTTACATTTGCAATGTGTTTGAACCGAGGATTTTATTTTACTGGCATTCTCAACACTAAATCCATTGCAACCTGACATTTGTTAGTCTCCTGTCATTTGATACCAGAAACACTACACAGAAAGGAACATATGAGCTTAGCATGAGGGAGAAGACCAAACACTTATAACTGTTTCACCCCCTTTCTGACCAAATCTCACAAGATTTATGAACGTTTAGAACAAAGTAATCTTTCAATGGGGCCAAGAAACCCAGAACTCATATCAACCTATAGTGTCATGGGAGCATCAGAATTCTCATAACAGGTGACTAATCCCTTTTTCCTTTGCCAGAGTGGGTCTCCTCTGTTCTCTCCCCTCCCTCTACTAATTTATCTTCTTCTTCTTGTTGCTCGGCCACATCTTTATTATTTGGATGGGCTAACTGCAGCAAAAGCCGGCCATTTTCCCTGGTGGCTTGCAAGCATGTGGGCAGTTTGATCTTTTTGAGGACAAGCCTTCCGTCTTCCTTGAACGATTTAAGGTAGACCCAGGGCTTCACCCCTCCTCTCCCAATGGTAGATATCGGTGGCGGGAATCCTTCTCTGCTTGTGAACCCTATATCCGAATGGCTTCTCGTGTACAGTTTCTGCCCATTATGCGTGCGTGATCGTGTCACCATCTCCCTATTCTGCTTCTTCCATCTCCGACTTCCTTTGCTGGCCTCCTCGACATCACGCGACATCCCAACGCCGTCTCCCTCGGCGCGGAGGGCCTCGGAGATCTTAGGAGACAGGCCATCATCGTCTCCGGGTCGTCCGTGGTTGCCATCTTGGGGCGACGAAGTCCAAGGAAGCAGGCTGGCGGTGGACGGTCGGGGTCTTTCTCCGAGTGGAATTTCGCCCAACAGCTTGATGGCGGGCGACATGGGGTCTGCGGATCTCATCCCATCCCATGACAAGGATCGCCTCAGCATCAGTCCTTGCGGCAATGGCTGTTCTAAGATCTGCCTCAGTTCAGCCCACGGATCCATTCGATGTCGTGTGGCCGAAGACAAAGAGGGGCAAGAAAAGAGAGGGTGGTGTCGATTAAAAAGGAAGGTTGGTAAAGGATTCTTCGATGACAACTTCTCACCCTGGCAACGGCCTTGCACGTCCCCTCGATCCTCTATAATTTAGGAAAAATATAAATTAAGAATAATATGCCTTTTCCACGTCATTCTGATCTATCGAAAACATAATTATTCACTCTCTCTCTCTCTCTCTCTCTCTCTCGATCGACATTTGCTTAGTGTTAGAATCAGCAGCTTAGATAGAACTTATTCTTGGAATATATTCTTATCAAGCTTGCTTCTCATTCACTTGAGAAGGACGAGTGGAATATATGTTAATTCAAATACTATTCATACAAACGATCAAACACCACTCGGATAACACTCCTCTTCACCAGCCACTCTCGATCGAGATACATTGTGAGAGGCGGCTACTAATAATATATATCATGTAAGAGCAGCAACAGCGAGAACGCAACAGCTGTGAGGATGACGGGGAGTGGTAAGCGGTAGCTGCTCGCATCGTTTCTGTTGCGGGGTTTATCGTTCCTCGGGTGATCTGCCGCGCCTTGAAGATTCGGAGTCGCTGATCCATAGCCCGAACCGGAACTGGTGCTGCTGTCCGTGTTCCCACCGTCGGTGCCGCCCGTCGAACTGCCGTGCCCTCCGCCTCGGCCGCCGGATGACGCGCCACCTGTCACTTTTTCTACTGCTGCTGCTGTTGTGTTGGTCGCTGCAGCTGCTTCCTGTATGCGTGCTGGAAAAGCATTGTGGTTGCGCCAAAGCAATCGTGCCAAAAAGAAATAGGAGACAAAGGGAGGCGAATACCTAATCCCCTGGTGTCGAGTGAGTGCACCATACGTAGGAGGAGGAGGAAGAAGAAGAGCAGGAGGAGTTGATTAGATCTCTTCATGTCTGCCACCACCCGAAGCCAAACACAGTTCATCTCTCTCTCTTCCCCCCCTCTAATACCCGAAGAAGGCATAAAAGATGACGACCGCAGAAGGTTCCTCCTCCCACTGCGAGCTTCCTTTTCACCAATTGGAGGCTCAGCCAATCATCCCACTCCACGTGGAAGATTCCTCCGTCCGAAAAGATGCCCGTTTTGGTCCTCCCAACATAACAATTATCGCGCATGCTACGACATGTGGGGCCGTTGCTGAGATCCTTTGTGTGGGAAGCGGCCGCTCGCACCAACGACGACGAGGGTACCGCCTTGCATGCACCAATCAACTCACGACTCCAGAAGCGGCGCGACTAGCATCTTCGTCTTGCGGGCATGCCGACCCCTGAGTCGTGGCTTGAAGCGTCAAGACGCGGAGATCGGTGAGGAGCGTGTAACGTCTCCAACTGCTCCTCGTACCGGCAGGCAACGGCATGTGCGAGTTCAAACAGTGGGCCTCGTCCGTCATCTCTCCCAAACACACTTGTTCGTTAGCCCAACGTCATGCTCGAGGCCACAGGAAGAGGACGAAGGGAAGGCTCTCGTCTCCGGTGTGCGTGGAGGGGATGGATGTGCAGTACTCGTGCGTGGTAGCGCCTCACATGTTTGTGCCAGAAAGAGGACGGCAACAAAATGTAACGCCAAGTCAAGTCAACTTAATTAATACTTAATTAATTACTTAGCCATTGTAAACATTTAATTAGAATGAAAGATAAATCTTAAGCTATTTATTAGAAGCATTAATTGGGCATGAATTCTGTATCGTAGAGAGGGTTTATAATATTAAGTAGTCTAAAAGTGTGTAAGTATATCATAACATTAAAAAAGTGTGTTTAATGCTAACACTTGTAGCATCGGAATGAGTCAAATGGTTAGCAAACCACAAGGAGTTGGCAATCGTCGATAGAATTTGATGTACTGGTCCAGATTTATTGGAATTGACGTAAGCTAGTCTAAATTCAGGTGCCAAATTAAGATTCTACAAAAAGACACATAACAGGCAAACAATTCTCCTAATAATGCTAAGGAGTTGAGGAATTCTACATTTGCAGCTGTAAGAGACAGGCATTCCTCCTGGAGAAGATAGGCTCGGTCTTTGTTCTCATCACTCTTTAAGCTCATACTATCTGAATTCCACATCACTTGCACCACCACGACTAGTGTTTGCTTTTCCCAACAACCAAATCCTGCAACGTATGTAGACGTCCGAGTTCCTGAAGGTGGATCTGCAAGCATCCAAGTGCAAAAAGGAAACCCAGAGAGAGATGAGCACTGTCCCGCCGGGGTATCGTTTCTACCCAACCGAAGAAGAATTGATTGGCTTCTATCTCCAGAACAAGCTGGAGAACAGAAGAGAGGACATGGAGCAGGTCATTCCTGTGGCTGATATGTATTGCTTCGATCCATGGCAGCTTCCTCGTGAGCACATCTCTCTCTCTCTCTCTCTCTCTCTCTCTCTCTCTCTCTCTCTCTCTCTCTCTCTCTCTCTCTCTCTTTCGTTTACATGTAGCTCCGTTCTAAGAACGGCTCGATCTGTCGTCGTTGACATATACGGATACGAACAGCGATGTCAGGAGAGCCGTGCAGAGGAGACGGAGAGCAATGGTTCTTCTTCTGTCCGAGGCAGGAGCGAGAGGCGCGGGGAGGGCGGCCGACGCGCACCACGCCGTCGGGATACTGGAAGGCGACGGGGTCCCCGAGCCTCGTGTACTCGTCCGCCAACCGAGTCATGGGCGTGAAGAGGACCATGGTGTTCCACCAAGGGAGAGCTCCCGTGGGAACCAAGACTAAGTGGAAGATGAACGAGTATAGAGCGGTGGAGGAAGGTGGGAGCAGCATTATTGCAAGTTTGGCTCCACAGGTACTTGTCACGTAGCACACACTAAGCATCTGCATATATCCTTCTCTTACGCTTCTTTCGCAGCCTCGCAGCGAGTATAGCTTGTGTCGCGTGTACACCAAATCAGGGTGCATAAGATCATTCGATCGACGTCCTTCTTCTTCTTCTTCTTCTTCTGCTGCTGCTGCTGCTGCAACTAATATCGATGCACAAAGAACGCCCGAGGTGCTGCCATCTCTTTGTGTTCCTGCTTCAGCAAACAGGCCTCCATCTTATGGCGATAGCTCTCGCCGTTCCGAGGGTCAACGAGGAGAGGATGACCTGTGGTTGATCACCGACGACGAATGCTACTCGTTGCAGGACTGGTTCTGAAGATTCACAGCTAAATGTTCTTCATGAATCATAGCACTGTGGATTAAGCAGCCTTAGCTTACTTTATTTAGAATATTAATATCCAAGAAGAGAGAGAGAGAGACGAGCAACACTGTGGGGAGACAGCGACTTCACCTGGCTTTAACACTTATTTTCTATTGGATTATCAGAAGAAACTTTTTCTCATCGTAGTTTTCAGTTGAATTCAACAACCACTCTTCGAGTGTTTGGAGGAGGAAGAGAATATACCACCAAATTACACTGCATGTCAAGTATTATTATACATCTGGTGCTTGTGAGGTAAACTCAGGTTAACCTTTCAAATCCGACATATATGAGATTGCCTGTGTGATAGGGCAAATAATTTATCTGACGGAAGTCACATTGAGGGTTGGAAATTTTATCTAATATTAGTCAAGAATTCAAATCCTCATCCCATAAACTTTCTACTAATGTTTTCACAAAATTTAGATTATTTCTAAATAGTATGTTTCACAATGAAGCAAAATAAAAAATCTTGATTAATTAAGCCAATCAATTTGATTTTCATTAGGGTTGTGAAGGGTTTTCAATTTTTTTTATTCATACTTTTTATATAACAATGGATATATATGTATACATATATCTATATACATGTATATATATATGTATATACATGTATATATATATATATATGTGTATATGTATATATGTATATGTATATGTATATGTATATATATATGTGTGTATATATAAATGTATATATATATATTTGTATATATATATATATGTGTATATATATATATATATGTATATATATATATATATATATTTATTTTTATATATATACATATAAACAAACAAACATACACACACAGACACACACACACATCATACCACAGAATAAGAAAACAGCTACATACCATCAAACTAAATGTTTGAAACGTATGAAATATTATATTTTGTCACATCACATCACTCGAAATAATTTGATTCTAAATGTTTCCAACGAAAGTGAGATCCTACAATATTTTCCTCCTATTGCAATGGATATTTTGTGCTACTTGTGGACTCGGTTGTTGGTGGTGAAGGATATGGTGTGAATGTGGTCTCAATTTGGTTGGGAGCATCCAACGGGTAGAAGGAAGTGTTGTCAATGTCAAGCCCTTCCTCTTGCGAGGAAAACTGCATTCCCTGATGATTACGATCTTTCCAGTGCAAATAAAAGCTTATCGGTGGCGCTGTTTTAAGGGTGTATTTAGAAATATATTTGAAATATGCAAAGGAAAACTCAATGCACTGATGATTATGATCTTGTTTTAAGGGTGTACTTAGAAATATATATTGATGGTTCGATACATATTTTAAATGTGAATTATTATTTGAAAATATTTAAATGTTGATATTACCTCGTTATAGCATTAACATCTCAGAATTTATGAGCTTGCATGAGTGTTTCGGCTAATCTATCATATTTATTGGTACAATATTGATCAATTAATTTTTGTCCTTGTAGTTTAATTAATTTGTTTCCTTTTGTGGGTACATCTACCAACCCTTTCCGAGCAAAATTATCTATTCCAGTTAAATCTAATAAGTACCTTATATTAATTAGAATTGAGTAGTTTTAGGGTTTGAATATATAATTCTTTTATTTATCACTATGTGTATTATTTAGGTAAAATGTTATAATTTATTATCATTTAGGTAAAATGTTATAATACCATGGCTTCTACACCTAATTTATAACCAAGGAGAGCTTCTTTGGACATTCATCGATTGGAGAAAAATCCAAAATTACAAATACAAGATGATAATAATGCTTGATATTATTCGAAAAACTAAAAGAGAATCATTTACGTGAAGCAAAACCATAGATGTACTCCTATTAATATGAAGTATAATGAATTATCGATTTGAATCAAAATCATTTGAGAGATCACACGATGGATTCAGATGAAAACAACTAAATTTGTGCTAGTAAGAAAAATAAAATGAATGTTAGATATTGTTTGCGAGTAATTTCATATTGCTATAGATTAAAAGATGTTAGATATCGTAACTTTAACTAAATTGACTTAGACTACCCTCTACAATTTATTTATTGGTTGTCGAATGACAGGAAATAATAGGCCGATAGACTTTAATTTCAGAGAAAAAAAGATCTATACTTTTTTTATTGGTGTTTAGCTCTTATATATACATATATATATATATATATACACATATATATATATATACACACATATATATATATATACACACACACATATATATATATATACATATATATATATACATATATATATATATATGTATATATATATATATGTATGTATATATATATATGTATATATATATATATGTATATATATGTATATATATGTATATATATGTATATATATATATACATATATATATATATAGCTCTGTGGCGGTCCAATAACGAGCACGGCAAAGCGAGGTACCAACGGCTAACTGATTCAATCATGGACCCGGTTGGTCCCACGTCTTCCCAGCGTCCGTTGCTTTACGACCAAAGTGGACCCCACAGTTAGGCTCTCCAATGATCGCACGGGTGAAACCGGCCCGAGTATCTTTTTGTCGTGCCCTTTTTCATTTTGGCTGGCGCGTTGATACCCACAGATCGCCACGTCATTGTCATTCCTCGGAGCACACGTCTTCCCCACGTGTCGGCCGCGCCATCTGAGGAGACGGGTGACGGCGTATCAGTTACCGGAACGCTACTTCGCGCCACGTAAGATCCGTCGTGGACTTCGCCTGCCCCTTCGGAATTGACGGCGGAAACGTGGCAATAGCTGGACTCGCACGCCGGCCGACCGCTCCATCCATCAATTAAATTAAACGGCCAGTGCGCCACAACCATCGGCACCCCACGTCGACATCCTGGTGCCCTTTCCCCCGTCGTCTCATCCGTCCGATCGGCGTCATGATTCGAGCGTACCGTGATTGGCGTCGTGAACCTGTGTGCCGCGCCGACGGTGAAGGTGAACTTATTCACGCCTTGACCAATCATTTGTTGACCCCTGCCGTCTATGTATACCCGCACACGCAACTTATCCATGCCTAAGAAACCGTCGCGTCATCGCTTTCTTTGTGACAGAGGAGCGAAGGGAGATGGGCGAGCGGGAGCTGATGTCCGTGTTCTCCAGGCAGTTCGTGGTGGCGGCAGCGCCGAGGCCGTGGACACGGGAGGAGGACAAGGTCTTCGAGCGGGCACTGTTGGTGTACCCGGAGGGCACGCCTAGCCGGTGGTTCGCCATCGCAGCGCAGCTGGTCGGGCGGAGCACCGTCGAGGCGTGGGGGCGGTACCAGGCGCTGGTGGAGGACTGCCACATGATCGAGCGGGGGATGGTGGAGGTGCCGGACTGCTGGGGTGAGGCGGACGACGGCGCGAGTTGCGAGGACGAGTCCGAAGGCGGCCGCCCGCGGCAGCACCGGCCACCGACCACCAGGGGCAAAGCGGAGGAGCGGAGGCGCGGCGTTCCTTGGACGGAGGACGAACACCGGTGAGTAGACCGAAGTGAATAGTTGGTATGAAGGGTAAATGTACGTACGGGATGGTAAGTCGACCTGGTCCTTTCGGTAACTTTGTTCTCCCACGCTTCCGCCAACCTAAGAAAAAAAAAGAAGAAGAAAACAAGATGGCGAATAGGAAAGGAAGAATAGTTGCTGGCTTTGGTTTGTTGACACCCATGTTTTGTTTTGGTTACCGTAGGTTGTTTTTGGAAGGGTTGGCCAAGTACGGAAAGGGAGATTGGAAGAACATCTCGCGGTGGGCGGTGAAGACGAGAACACCGACGCAAGTCGCCAGCCACGCCCAGAAGTTCTTCATCCGACAGAACCAGAACAATGGCGGAAAAAACAGAGACACGAAGAGAAAGAGCATCCATGATATCACAAAAATAGGATGAAAAATCAATTAGATTGTGCACGCTTCATACTGAAATCATGAACAGTGGCTTCTTCTTTCTTTTCTACTGCTTTATGGTGTAAATTTGCCTAAAAAATTAGCCTTAAGGCACGAAAACTTCATAAACAGAAACCGAAGCATGAGAAATTTGTACTTTTACCATCAAATATGCAAGCAAGCAGTAATAATCGCAAATTAGTACGAAAATATGCTTGGGGATACACGAGCGCATGCGTACGGGAAGGGAAGGGTGCGTGCACCTTGTGGCGGTGCTGATGACTTGCTGACGCGAGCGCTTCCAAAGGCGTCCGTTGACGTAAAGCGTAGGTGTTGGGTAGGTGCGTGCATTCGTGCATGCATCACCGTTCGACCAAGGCTCGAACACGTGCAAGATGACGAGGTGGTGCTTTACCCTAGAAACCTTTTTTTTTTTTTTTGATTTGACACATGCTATTTATATTTCGATGGGGTTTCTGGCATAAACATTTTTAATGCGAGCCTTCCTGTCGAAGGAAAGCATCCGGGGTGGGTCCATTTTCGAATACGCTTACTCGGATTGGATTTCCCAGTTCTGATCACAATAGGTCCTTGGTGCCTACTATATTGTCCTTCTCCGACTCATTAACATGTGAATAGGATTCTTCCATAGAAAAGAACAAATGGAGCAAAAGTTGTGTAGTAAACCTTTGGCTGGACTGCTGGGTTTTGTGGAAAACACCAATCTATTCGAGGCATGTAATAAACCTTTGGCTGGACTGCTGGATTTTGTGGAAAACACCTAATAAACCTTTGGCTGGACTGCTGGATTTTGTGGAAAACACCAATCTATTCGAGGCATGTAAATCACGGTGGCAATTGACTATTTAGTTGATTCAGTCAGTAGGCTACAAGTGTGACCTTTGCATATGAAAGGGTTTTATGGAATAAAGCAGCAGCATCTCGTCTTGGTGATGTTGACTATCTCATGAGGCAATTGAGAGCACTATGAGATTGTCATTTGATAAAATCAACTTGACGTAGATTTATATGCACAAGACATGAAATATGAGGTAGATTTAAAAAGACCAAGACAGGCTTTCCAACTATCCAAAAACCAAGCACAATCACCGATGATTTTTGTTTTTGTTTTTATTGGAAATTGAGCATAATAGCATATAGGAATCCAAAAGCAGCAGAAAGACGAGCGCTAAATATGAAGCATGAGAAAGAAAGGTACCTGCAACTCTTTACAAAGTAATGCTAAAAATGGATGACGAGTAGAAGGCCCAGATAGTTAACCATCCTTGCCGATTCTAGATCAGATCATCCACATGCCCATGGTAGAAACCATGAGTTTGATTATGTGAGCTTGACTATCGGACCAAGCAACCAAGAGAAGTAACTTAGATGCAGAGACCAGAGATCATGATGGCAGCACAGATGCTACAATCCATGAAGACGGCCCTTGCTACTTTCTGGAACATCAAAAATGCCTCCAATGCATCGTCCGTATTGGTATTGGCTGCCGGACCATACTCCTCTTTTCCGGTCTTGCTCCCTTTTTCCTTTACCTTCTCCACTCGTGCTTGCGTTGTCATCAGCAGTCCGAGAACAATGGTAATATCACTTAACATAACAAGGAACAGTGGTCTAAAATTTATAATGCTTGCCGCACCACCAAGAGCATAGCCATGATTTGACAAGATAACCATAAGAGCTACGGTAACCGCAAAGAGCAAACGTGTATTTTCAGAAGTTGACACGGAGCGACTGACTTGCTTTGACGAGAATAAGATCTGCTTCTTCTCCCTTGCTTGAGATTCAACGGTGTCCACAACTTGATCAGATGACTTCTGGGGCACAGGCGGGTTCAGCAGTTTTGAATCCCTATCTTTTTGGTGAGTCTTTACTTCAGCCACATTCCGTGATTCACATATGTTAATCTCATCTTCCTTACCACCAACTATTTCATTGCATGCCCGAGTTCTAGAAATTCCATTGCTTCTCTCACCTCCTGCTATTTCTGCAGCTGTTCCACTGGTGTCTTTGTTGCTTCCATACTGGTTAGAAAAGTGAGAACTAGTTGCATCATACCCACTGAAAGGAGAAACTGCAAAAGAAAAGGCAAGTATAATCAAATACACGATTGTTGAAGGCAAACTGCCTATATCCAGCTCCTTGCGAGGAGGGATCATCCAGCATAGATAAGTCATATGTTTTTACATTAGTAGTGTCCAAATAACCAAGGATCGAGGAACAATCTCAGTTGTCAATGACTTTCTAACACTCGAATATTTACTTTAGTGGCAAAGTCTATCATCAATAGTTAGAACAGAACTTAGGGAATTATGGCTTCTAACCTAGCACCCTATCACATCATATACTAACACCAAGCGTAAGAAAGAAGCAGGTAATCAACGATACCCAAAAACCACCTAGTCCCAGTTGTACCCTTAGCTCCAAACATTGTGGCACCTTCAGCTTTCAAACAAGTTATTCATAGAGAAATTTTTACATAGGCAACAAGAAAATTGAAAGGTATCTATGTTCTACAGGGGTGATGATCAAGCAGAGAGAAGACCATTGAAGTTCTGGTTCCAATCTTCCAGACAAAACTGAGGCATCCAGAAGCCACCACCATAAACCTAACAAATACAGAATCACTCTGTCTCATGATATGCACTACATTCTGTTAGTCAGATTGATCTCATTGGAGTTTTCTTATCAGTACTGCTGCATATATTTTTCAGCTTGAAAGAAATGCTTTTCAAGTTCTTATTCTGCCTCTGAATCAATTGGCCAAATATCCAACGCAGCATGAGCTGCACAGATTCAGGTTGGTTTTATTCCACAGTAATGAACTTTGAAAGATAAAAGTCAACCTCTTGAAGGTCATGTTAAAAGGGCAACCACCACTACGGCATCAAGTCATAATATCATAGTTAGTTGTCCAGAATTAGTTACACGGATCTTTTCCTGCAATTATGATCTGTTTGGAGAAATATTACTGCTGGGGATCATGCAAAAAAGACAACCATTCTTTTGCGTGTTGGGAGTAATTCTTTCATATAAATTTTAACTTTTGTTTACCAAACTTAAGCTACAGAACAAATACCAATTACCCACCTTGTTGTTCACCTTGTTATAATGGGTCTTTTATATCTGAAGTGGATAAAGAGGAAAATCCTGAAATAACTCTCATGTGAGTAGTGGTTCCTACTACAAATAAATAGTTACTAAGAACCTGTAGCAGGTCCTCAAATAGGTTTCTAAGGAACAAACACAAAATCTTTTTCCATAGAAAATACATCATCAAATCTAAGATATCTTTAAGACAATTACAAACGGCGTAGGATTACTATTTGGAGGAAATAATTCACAATTTAGCACAACATTAACAACAAAAGATTTTAGATGCATGGTAGCCAAGATGCATGCAACAAAAATAAAACTCAGAACTGTTATCATGATGACCTCCCATACAAAGCCCAAGAACAAAAGTAACAATCTCTATTATCAAATGGAGATTCTCTCTCTCTCCATAAAGGAAGCAATTTTTTTTCACTGGTGACTAAATGATAACAGAACAATGGTACTTCCATGCAAGGACCGAATCTATTCATGTTTCCATGTCTTCCAAATCACCAAAAGAAGAACACAAATTCCTGAATTGAAGCATAGTTCTTCTCAAAACCCTTCTCAAAGCATAGTTCTTCACAAATTCCATGAACAAACAATCTAAGAATTGCCATCATATACCATTTCTTTCCCAACAGACCACTCTTCTAAAAGGAAAAGAAGCGCCTCATGTGATTGCTATGCTGAAATTAAAAAAACCTAGAGAGCAAATTGATGACTTTACATCTTCTTGTCTATTTAGATTATGTAAGAACAACTGTTTGATGCCATCACCGAGACGAAGGAAGGAGGACATACCCTAGATCTACAGCTAAACCGAGTTCCAAAATTCCAACCGTGCTACCATAATATCGGACAGAATAAATTTCCATGCGTCTCCATGTGATGATGCTCCACGGAGATGTTGCGACATCAACGACGAAGAAACCAACCAAGAGTGGTCAAGATGACACATTCAAGAAGAAGAATCGGAAAGGATTGTCGAAGTCTACATAAACAAGCATTCTAACAATCGCCATGCTGAAATTGAATCAGCATCTACGGGATTCATAGGGTAATTTGAAGATTTTAGATTCTGATGCGCTCGCCAAGGCGAAGGAAGGAGGAGATTCCCAAGAACGGACAGACAAGAATACCGCCTGAGATCTGGATTGATGGATAAACCGAGGACCAAATTTCAACCCGCGCATCGAGCCCTAAAAAAGCATAAACCAAACGATCGGTGCAACAGATCTCCACACATCTCCATCTCATGATGCTCCACGAAGATGTTGCGACATACATCGACCAAGCAAACACCCAAAAGATATCAAGATGACACAATAAATAAGAAGAAAAAAGAATCTGAAGGAAAATGGAAAGAGGGAAGAGGAGATCTTACTGGAGGTCCGCGGATCATCTTCCTTAGTAAGAGGAGAAGGAGGAGGTGGTGGGGAGGAATCGGGAACAGATCTCCCTTGGCCTGTGATAAGGGCGAGGCGGTCGGATCCACGCTCCAGGATCTTCCGCCGGCGAGCCTCTCTCGCGTTCTCCATCCCGATCTCGGGGGATCTCTCGTTCTCCCCAAGCTTCGAATTCGAACCTTTGAGGATGTCTTCGTTTATATATCCTTGTGAACATGCATTAACTTAGCTTAACTACCTTAGATCATAATTCATTTACTTACATATTAATAAAAATATATAACGATTTTTTTTTTAAATATTAATGTAAATTAGAGATTAAACTAATAATCATTTAGTTTATGATAGTGATAACAATTAAATATACTGATGTGTACGTAAATTATATATATATATATATATATATATATATATATATATATATATATATATTTATTGGCGATGCTTTTTTATGTAGTGAAAAAAAAGAAAATATGTTTTGATATTTATTTTTTTAGAAAATAAAAATTATTGATTTAACTTTATTTTGGTCATGGATAGATCACCTAAGTTCAAATCCACTATTTTTTTTATTACAATGAAATTCATTAAAAAATATTTTTTTTATTTTATTTTGATGCTTATTTCAGGACATAATCGATATTTTTTAAGAAAATTACAAAGAGAAAAAAAATAGATTCTTCTGTGAATACTTCTGAAAAATTCTGAGTTGAAATCCCTTTCTATTAATTCTTTGACTCGGAGAATCCCGTGAGTCTGAAGAACGAGCAGAGATCAAGAAATGGTTCTATTAATAGTAATATCCTATTTCATAAATTGTTTTGGGTCATATATTTTATTTATCCTTTAAAATATTTAGATCTCTCACATATGTCATTTTTAGCATTTGTCAGATAAATTCTCATCAACTACTACTAATCATAGTCATCAATAATAGCTAATTTAAGTTCTTAGAAATATAAAAAAAAATTAAATACTTGTGAATATTTTCACTGTTTATTCTTCTCTTTTCCTTATTTCATATTTCTATTATTTACTAATTGTTTTATTATCTTCTTTTTCCTTGTTCTTTCCTCTCTCTCTCTCTCATTGCATGCTCCAATACAATAATCAATTGGTATTGTATCGGTTCAGCTCTAACAAGAAACAGCAGGAAATAGAGGTTCTTCATTAATCAATCATGAGGTAAAAGAATCCCAAGCATACACTGTCTCAAGGCAAACCATATGATACTAAAATCACCTAGCAAAACAATCCACCATCGAGTTCATCATGAAACTAGCAAATCCTGCAAACACCTTTTCTTGAGAAAAGGAAAACCACATGATTTATAGCCCCGGAATACACAACAATTGCTTGCAAACAATAAATAAAACATGTTTAACTTGTCTGGAAAAATAAAAGTTGTTGAATTATAATTAAAACCTATGCAATCGAGTTATCCACATTGATGAAAGTACCCAAGAGAAAACAAAGTGCCAACACCACTTACCAAGCAACACAAAAGGCTGCATAGTACAGCGACTCGGAGATGCAAGATTTTTAGGACGATGCTGAATGTTCATCCAGGTAAGACATTGCGACGGCTGCATGGAAAGCAGCTCCTATTGGAAGTGCCTGCTCATTAAGAAAGAAGTAGGGGGAATGTAATGGATGGACTGGCCCCACGCTGTCGTCATTCCTGACTCCAAGCCAGAACATGGAGCTCGGCATCCTCTGTGAAAAGAAGCTGAAATCCTCGGCACCCATGGTCGGTGGGCTTTCGTGGACATTGTCTTCTCCAACCAGATTCTCTCCCACCTTCCTAACATGGCTATACATCTGATGATCATTCACAGTTGCAGGATACGGTATGAGTTTCTCCTCCATGAAATCTACGGATGCAGTGCAACGGTGAACAGCAGCCTGTGTCTCTATAATCTGTAAAAGTAAGTGCAAAGCAAATCAGTGACAGGATTCCTTTTATCGACGCATTGGAAGTTAATTTTGACAATGTGGTTCATGCATTACATCATAATGTATTCAAAAGCTATTTTAGGTTTTTGGCACCATAGTCCTGCTCTAAAAGTGTGCATGTTACCTCCTTAATCCTTCTTGAAAGGTAGGAAAGACCTTCTCTGGTCATGCTCCTAAATGTGCCACCGAAAGTCACAGACTCTGGGATAACATTGTGGGCTTCTCCAGCCTTTATGAACCCAACTGAAACGACCTGTAGACAAGATACAATGTTAAGCTGCAGATAAATCAGCATTACTACTTGTATGTATGCTAGGGAAGTATGGAATATCTAGTCTGGCACTAAAAAACTCTCCACCATAATGCTCATGCAAGGAGACCAACCTAACTATTTCCTAGAAGAAAAACTTTGCTGCTCCGTGAAGACATGATAAGGAGGCAAGATTCCTAGAAGCTCTTGACACCAACTCAGATTTTAATTACTTTGGTTCATCGTCATAAGGAAAACATGATAATCTTGCCTCTACTATGAATCTGATATGACAGGCCACAAAATCACTGAAATGAATTATTAGCAACTATCATGAGAAGATATTGAAGCCAATTATTGAGAGTCTAGTGGATCAATTATAATATATACATCATCCAACAATAAAGTCTTCTGACATGATTTCTGATACCAAATTGTGGAACTATACCAGCAGCAATCATCTCCTAACATAAGATATTTTATGCAATTTGTCACATCAATTGAGAGAGCTTACTCTGCTTTCTAGAGGGTCCGACTCTCTAGATACAAGCTGTTGAAGGCTGAGGATTGCAAAGGATGCAGGAACTAATGGATCAATTGTTCTATGTGGGGATGCTGCATGTCCACCTTGTCCTTTAATAATTGCATGAAAACGTCCTGATGCTGCAAGAAGAGGACCAGCTCTCGAAGCAATGTGACCAGTCGGAAGACTAGGTTGAACATGCATAGCAAAGATTGCCTCCACATCATCCAGAGTACCCTCTTGCAGCATGTGATAAGCACCGGCATAACCCTCTTCTCCCGGTTGGAAAACAAGTTTCACGGTGCCCTTCGAGAAGAAAGTAACTTCAGTTACCGATCAAGAACCTGATGACAAAAGAGCTTGCTGGTGATACATGTACCTTCAGCTCACTCTTCTGATGTTGAAGCAACTTAGCTGCCCCAAGAAGCATTGTTACATGAGCATCATGACCACAAGCATGCATTTTCCCGCTCTCTTTGCTTTTGTACTCCCAGTTTACCAGCTCCTTCCAGAGGATAAGGGTTAACCAAGTGATTACCTTGTAACAATATAATACTTGGAAGGACAAAAATTAACCATGCAGGGAACCTGAAGTAAACAGATGGTTTGACACTGACTGAAGACATTCATCGAACCAAAATCTTATGGAGGTCTATTTAGTAAAGAAATTTCATACGCAAGAGATTATTTTGCATATGATCAAACAATTTTACATGTCAAGTAAAATTAAAGAAAATAATCAAAATTCAAGTTCAGTGACAGTTTCTTATACTCATAGTATAGAAACCATGTGAGAATTCAAATGGCTGATCAACCATTACCACATAGGCCCCAAGTATCTAATTTTCATTATGAGATCAATCATACAGCTACTAAGCAATGAGACAGTTTTGACCCAAACTAAGCAATATTCATATTGTTATTAATGAACTTTGAAAATGTTTGTATCAAGAGGGTTGAAAAAGATGCAACCATTAAACAGTCATATTGCAGGGGATAATTTCAAGTGAAAAACTTGTACCTTGACCAATTATCAGAAGGTTTTCGAATCTCATTCGAGCTTTAGCTCCTTGGTTCTTTTAATCTATTCGGCCAAACATAATTGAATCCAATAACAGGAAAATAATAGAGTTAATCGCAGACAAAAACATAAAAAGCTACAAAAACGAGTGCCAACATTAACAATTGATCTCAAGTTCCATTCCCAGCTTCTATCCTGTTGGACTGGATTTGACATTTGGGAATAAACTCCTCGTCTGCTTTGAAATATGTCATTATTTACCAGGGGTCTAGAAACTACCCCTTTTAAAGAATTGGAATTGGTTGAGCATACAAGTCGACTTTCGCAGCTCACTAATCGGCTCAATCTTTTCTTCCATCTCCATAGTTTATCAAAACCTAATCTTTATCTAAGTACAGAACAGTCCTCAATTCGGTCATATTGTATGAGAAACAATGATGTGAGTGATTCCATAGAAATTGGCCTTCAAAGCCATGAATTGTAGTAATCTTTCAGCACTTTTCATCTCATTTTTCACCTGCATCTTTTAGTAAAAAGGGGGGGAAAGAAAAAAGAGACCCCTCTTTTCATCAAAATGAGGTCAGAGATGATCTGAATAATCAAAACCATCCATCCATACAAGAACCATGATGGACTTCAGAACCTATTTAATTAGGTTCTACGACGTAAACAATAGATATATGTTTCTTCACGGAGATGGCATCAAAATCTCGATTTTTCAAATCCTTCGCGATACGCAACATAACTCAAAACCCAGCAAGAAATGAAGAATAAGGAGTTGACACGCACCTGCAACGGGAGCGCATCCATATCGGCCCTCAGCGCAAAGACGGGACCGGCGCCGGATCCGATGGAGGCGACGATGCCGGTCTTGGCGACCGGCCAAGTGTACTCGACGCCGAGAGCGTCGAGCTCCGACCGGATCAGTTCGCTCGTCCCGTACTCCTCAAAGGCGAGCTCCGGGTGCTGGTGGATGCGCCGGCGAATGGTCGTCAACCAGTCGAAGAACTCGGGCGCTCGAGCCGATTCCAGGAGCTCCCGAGGCGAGCCGACCGACGCCAGCGACGGGGGGGACACGGAGCCGACGATGACGATGACGAGGACGATAAGGTAGCGAAGGCAAGGGGAGGACGCCATGGTCACAGATCGATGCGGGAGAGGCATTTGGGAGCAGCAAACCGCGATCGAACCGTTGTTAATACGTCCACGTACCATTTCATTGCATTTGATGTGCCCATGTGTCCGTCAACATTCCCGAAACGGTGAGTGAATTCACATCCGACATTTAATTATATTAAAATGAGTTTGGATTAATTTTATTAAAATGATTTCTTTGTGAGGTATAGAAAAAGAAAGAAAATAAATATATATTTGTAATAAAGAAAATAATGACGATAGTAACGACGGACGGCAAAACCAAAGACTTGGGGGTGGGTGGCAAAAACAAAGTGGAGGATTACAACAACAATTACTAAATCGTAGTACTGCTTAGGCAAGAAATCTTTTCTTCTTCTAGTGTTTATATGGCAATCATGGCGACCACTTCCTGAAAAGATTCACGTAATATGATGCAGTAGTCACCATGGAATTTGAGAAGCATCCGAGTACAAACATTGTGGGTTGTTGGACGAATCAATTGAAGAGTCAACAGCTGCTTTTCTCCAAAAGGATATCTTTTAATTGGATGGTTTTTTTTTTTTATATAGAAAATATCTTTATTTTTAATTTTTTTTTCCAAACATAATTTCTTTTTTTAAAGTTCTTTTCAATTTCGAAATTATTTTTTACAATTTGATCACCATAATAAAATTTTTATAAAATTTATTTAAAAACACCATAAATGAATTAAATTAAATCATATCATACTATAATTTAAATATATATTTATAATAGTTTAAAAATAACATTACACCAATAAAAAAAAGTAAAAATTAGTTTATTACAGTGTATTGGCCACTATAGTAGAAATAACATAAAACCTATTTAAAAATATTTATAAATGATCCAAATAGATTTCTAACCTTAATCAAACTAACTATAAACTTAAAAAATATAATATTATAATGATCTATAAGTAATGACAAATAAAGTGCTACATTATCATTTTTTATATTTCTTTTAATAGCATTTTAATATATCTAAATAAAAACACATTAAATGGGTCAAAAATAATAAAAAAAAAGTTCAAAATTGATGAAAAATTTTGATGAGAACAATTATCAAGAAATATTTTAGATATTTTTAAAATTAGGTACACTGTTTAAAAAGTAAAAAAGAGGGTTTTATTTGAAAAAAATCCAAAATGAAGATTTTTTTTTTAGATAAATCGCTCTTTTAAATTCATCCTAGTAAATTCATTATGGAGCAAAATTTTATGAAGCTTATAATAAAATAATAATTTCTTGTAGACAAAGTCCAAACGTGAGATCCAAAGTGGTGTTACTTCCCGATCAAGGTAAAATTATGCATCCATCATAAAAGAACAAGATTGTGCTAAAGGATATTTTCTATAGTTAAAAATATTTTTTAAAATATTATACTTAGTTGTGTTAATATTTAAAATATATTTTTTGTAAGATTTTGTATTATTATCTTTTATCTTTTAAATAAGTTGATATAATACAAAGATAAGGATTTTTTGGTTTAAATTACTATTTTATACATATAAATAGATAGATGATATCTACAGATCCATCCAAATCTAAGTGATTAAGCCTATAGGGCTCAAATCAAAGAGTATTTAAGATCTTATAAATATTTCTTTTTAGGAAGTTCAATATAGTTTTTTTTTTTCTTTCGCCTTGGATTCTTTTTCTACTATTTGATTTAATCTTGGGCTAGTAGTCACTTGTTATTACTATTTAAGAAAGAATTATACTTGCATATGATCTCTTCTTTTCTTACATTGTATTAGAGCCATAAGGGTGATAATCCGTATTTCAAGATCTTTTTGGTGAAGAAAATAACACTTTTCAAGGATCAAGAGTTGGTGCATTTAGTATTGAACACTTCTCAATTATGACTATAAGATCTAAAAGATTTGTTTGGAATTTTATCTCACATAGGAAGATCTATGGATTCCATATGATTCGTATCAATACAATAATATCACAAGATTTTGTAGATGAATTTTTGAACATATTAGTGGTTGCAACTCAACCTTAGAGATTTGGATCACTTTTGATGTATTATTCAATAAAATAAATATGGTTCTAGTTAAGCATTTAAAGAATGATTTATCAAATACTATTCAAAGTAATCTTTTAATTTTTTATTTTTTAAAAATGAAAATTTTATGTTCAAAGTTATTACTCTTAGATCTAGATGAGTCTATCTTTTATACACAAATGAAATGTTATATTATTCATGAACTTAAAAATTTTTACTTATCAAGAATCCTTAGCTCATCTGAAAGGTTCTACAGAGATGAGATGTCTCTTTTATAAATAATAATAATAATAATAATAATAATAATAATAATAATAATAATAAGGATATAGAAAGCAAGAGTCTTCTCCAAATAATGGTATAAATAAAAAGAAAATCAAGTGTTATAGGTGTAGCAAGTTAGGCTATATTAAAAAAAATTATCTTGATAAATTAGAAGGATACATTATAAATAAAATAGATTATTCCAATGAAGATTGGTGCAAATGTTTTATGACTAAAATTGTTTAAGTTATGATGTCTATCAACTTCGAATATGATTGTATAGTTGATTCACGATATGATCATCATCGGTGATAGTACCAAATTCATTAATCTTTATCAATATAAAAATAATAATATAATTATAGATAATATTGAGAAGGAAGGTATAATTATAATATTAAATAAAGATAATGATTATCGTACATTGAAGAGTATATATCATGTTCTTGGTACGAAGAAAAATCTTTTTTCAATTGCAAATGTAGTTGATGCTAGAAATTATATTCATTTTTATCCTAATGAAGTCATTTTTTTATAAAATAAAATAATTAAATATAGATGTAATACATACTAGTAAAAGACTCAAAGATTTATATATTTTATTAATATCTAACTCTTATGTGGATTGGATGAGTATTGGTATATCAATTTGGGATGCTGGATTGGTCATATAATTTTTTTAAATTAAAGATTATAATATAGAAAAGTCTAGTTAATAATCTTTCCAATCTTATTATTTTTAGTAGTAATGAAGTTGTGAAAGTTGTCAATATGGCAAGACACATAAGTAAACCTTTGATAGATCATTTCAATTTGTAAATTTCTTTTAAAACTTATTCACAACAATCTAATGGATTCTACTTAAACTTTATCTTATTTAAGTTTTTGTTATATTCTTCTTTTTATTGATGATTTTATAAAGTTCCCTTAGATGTACTTTGTGAAGAAAAAATCAAATGTTTTTTCAAGAGTTCAGGTTTTAAAAATATTTTTCTTTTTAAATTATGCACCAATAATGATGGAGAGTTCACTTCTAATAAATTCTTCTCTTTTTATTAGTATGGTATTAAGGATGAACTCACATGTGCAAATATACCACAACAAAGTGGTATGACAGAATGAAATATTCGATATTTCGTAGAGATTTACGCTTCACGTAAAGAATTTACTCAAAATCTTATACGTAAAAGGTATGGCATATACGACTTATGTTATTAATCAAATTCCTCTTAGCCTAATCAATATGAAGTTTCTATACGAACTCATGTTTGGTGAGAAATTAAATGTTAAATATTATATATTTTAAAGTATTTAGTTTTTCATATTATGTTCACATACTAGACTTAAGAAGCAAACTTGTTGCTAAGACCAAGAAATACATCTTTATTAGGTATGATGAAAGAAAAAAATGTTAAAAATATATGGATCCACAAACATATAGGTGTGTAGTAACTTGAGATGTTATACTTGATGAAGTTTCTTCTTATTATTGTTCATACATAGTTATTTTTTAAATATTAATCACAATAGTGAAAGTAATGTATGTTTAAAATTTGTGATTTGAGTTTTCTTTATCATCAAGTACTTTTATGGGTTTTAGCTTATCTTCTTTATTATCTATATTCATTTCTATTATTTTTTTTGTCACTAATAGTGGAGAAAAGTGATAGGAGGAGTAATAATATTCATAAAAAAATTTTAATATTGAGAAGATGAAAAAAAATTTGACAAACCAACACATTACATATATAGAGATAATATAATCATATGTCATTGTTTCTTTTCTAAATCATTGATGATATTAAGATTACTTTTTTTTGATAAAGTTAAAGGTATTAAGGAGTGAGAGAATGCCATAGATAAAGAAATGAAGCTTTTTATAAAAATAAAACTTGAAATCTTATGACAAAGCCTATAAATATATATCTAATTACTTATAAATAAGTCAACAAGATGAAATGTAAGTTAGATGAAAGTATAGATCGTTATAAGATAAGACATATTGGAATAGGATTTTCTTAAAAATATGAAAAAGATTATAAGAAAATCTTTAGTCTAGTGGTCAAGATAACATCTATTAGGATAGTGATTATTCCAGCAACTAATCATAAGATGAAAGTCTTAGTAACTTGATGTGAAAAATGTCTTTCTATATAGTGAAATTGACTAGGACATTTATATGGAGCAATTGTTAGAGTATATTTACAAGCTCAAAAAAACCCTCTGTCGGTTAAAGCAAACTATCATATATGAAAAAATTACTTAATACTTATATTTTTATGTTATTTTTCTTCATATTCAAATCCTAGCTTATTTATTAAAAAACAAGGAAACCTGTTCTTCTATATATTAATCATATGGTCATCATCGATAATAATAAATAAAAATTTCAAAGCTTTATGATGAGCTTTTTCTTCAGTTTGAAATAAAAGTCTTGAGAGAATTTAATATTTTTGTGATCAATATAAAAGAAAGTATATTTATTTCTTAAACAATCTATACAAAGAAAATTATTGAAAGATTTGTAATTAACAAAAGTAAGAAGGTTTCTACATGCAAATATATAGTTAGGTTGTAATGATAGTAAGGTTCTTTTTTACCCTCAATCTAAAT